ATAATTTTAGGGACGTGTCTTAGCACAGCTCAACTATCTCTTTCTTTCCCCATTGGCCAACGTTCAAAGTTTTCAAAGATCATTTATCCCTAACAAATCCCCCGCACCCCTCTAAAGAGAACAAGATGTCATGCTTCAAAAGTATGTTTTCTTTTTAAGAAAGAGTCCTGTTTCATAAATAAGGGACCAGATCAAAGATGTTTTTTTAGGTTTCAGGAGCAATATATATGCAACATGAGAAATATGCATATTAGGGCTCCCATTTTTTATTTGCACTTGCCACTGGTTTACTGCTGGCTCATAAATAAGAGTAAATTTACTGCATTTTCTGTACGTGATTCGTTATTTGGGAAAATATTAAATAATATATTCTTTGTGCAGTCTGAGAGTGCCCAGGGAGAAGCTGCTGGAAGTGCAATGGGGGGAAGAGGGCGTGGGTTTGCCCCTCGTGGTCGTGGCATGAGGAGGCGATAAGCTTCTCTCTTCTTTGAAGCATTTCTTGTGGCAACTAATTTTTACTAGTTATCCATTTCAAGCAAGGGAAAAAAGTTAAAGAGAGACAATGCAGTGTGTTATATTTGAGTTGGGTTCAGTTGATGATGGTGTGATTGTATGTTGGAGGAATTTACCCTTTTTGGTAGGTACACCATAGGGACCATACACTAGTGGTGACTGAAAAAAACTGTTTTTTGACGTTCGGATCGGACATGTTTTGTTCAAGCAAAAATGTATTTTCTCAATGCCTTGTGATTTTCATGTACATCCAACATTAGTTTTGTTTTGGAGCATCTGGGTATTTGACATCCTAAGTAAGAAGCTAAGGTATCGGTGTATCATAGCACGTCCTAACTAAGATGCAATGATGCTGCAAAACAGCTCTTGTTTGGTACGCCTTTTGTGCCTTTACCCCTAAAGCCCTCCATCCTTATAGGGTGGCCTGAAAAGACGACCTCGTTGCATGATATAAGAAGATTGGTCAAAATAGGCATATTCATATAACTTATATGAATATGCCCATTTTGACATTGCAAAGACGAGAAAACTATTCATTGTTTATGCGAGAAATTGAGTTGATTTTTCCAACATCTATGTGCCTACTAAATTAAAGGTTTATTTCTCCGAATAGGATACAAGTTGATTAGTAGCACTTGTTAGAATCATGAAGTGTCATGTTAACTTAGTAACTTTGTCTTCATATGATATATCTATTTGGGTCAAGCTCAAATTACATTGTTTTTGGACACTCTACAAAATGCCTCAAATTGGAGCACATATACCTATGTAGGTTTGTCCAAAAATAAATAAATACTACCTCCGTTTCTTAAAATTCTTCCTTTTTCATTTTTTTTGTTTTTCTTAAAACACTTCCCTTTTCTATCAAAAAACCATTTTTACCCCTATTTTTTCATACCCTACCTATCACATCATACTTTTTCACTAACAACTAAACTATTACATCTTACTTTTACCCATCACATCAAGGGCAAAATTGGAAAGTCAACTACAATTTAACACTTCCTTATTTTTCTCCAAAGTCAAAAGAGGAACCGTTTTGAGAAACGGAGGGAGTAATTAAATAAACACAAAAACACACACATATGGATCAATATGAAGAGTGAGTTAACCTTAAATCACCAACACTATTCAATATCATTGAAAGCTTCACCTATTTTTCGAATGTACGAAGTTATAACATTTTTCACGGTCAAATTTGCAATTATTCTTTTCAGGATCGAGAGAGTATTCATTACCAAAAAAACAATACGAAGCATTGTAATTTTTTTTGCTTGTATAAATAATATCAATCACCAACAACATAGTTCAAGCCTAAAATAGATGAAAATGATGATTTGTGATGAATGACACGAAAAATGTGAGGTTATCTTGTATGAAGGTTGCATGACAAGCGGATGTGCATGGGTAGATACTTGTAGAACGTTAATAAATATTTCATGAACTACATAGATATGTACGTATGACCCTCGACTTTGGTAATGTTCATTCTATACATTGATAAGGTAGCTCTTGCTGTCAAACGTATATATAGTACCAAACCTAATTAGTACATACAACACTTGTATACATGTAAATAACAATGAACACATTTTTTTGCATTGAGTAGATTTTACGATGAGGCGAAGGACACGTCTCTTCGTTTCTTAGGGTTTGCGGCCGCATCTGGATTTCCTTTCTTCATCATGGCTGCAAACTCGTCGTAATTGATCCGACCATCCTGACATTATTTATAAAACAAAGTACATTTTTAGTAAACGTGACATTTTGTTCTTCTTAAATTCGTCTTATTGTTGTTTGACGTAACCAAATACACCCCCGTCCCAAAAAGTTTTTTTCTCTCTCTTTATTGTTGTGCCCCTCAAAGTCTTTTCTTTTATTAAAAAAACACTTTTACCCATACTAATTTTTATCTTACCCATCACATCATACTTTTTTAAGAATAATTTTTTCATCATATCAAGAGTATTTTTAGAAAGTTAACACAAAAATATCATTTTCTTAAATTTTCTAAAATAAAAAAAGAGACCAACATTATGGGAAGGAGGAAGCATTCAAAACGAACCGCGAGAGTTGATATAAATAAGAAGATTTTCTTACATTATCCCCATCGACTTCAGAGATGATTTCTTTGATATCCTTTCCATCATTCATGCCAAATTCTCTTAGAGCTTGCTCCAACTCCTCGATCGTAATGTATCTGGTAGAACAATAAGATTTTTTTATTTTGTTCGAAAAAATGATTAACACATAACTCATTCGAGTAAATCTTTAATTAATTTAAAAAAAAGACAGCTTAGATTGTTGGAAATGAAAGGATCACATTGTATTAACTAGCTCAAATTTTGTATTACATGATTAACTCCTATATATAGAAAATGAAAACAAACAACAACCAAAAATATCTTCTTAACAAACTAACAAACTATGTAACTAATCAACTAAACAAATGCTAAATGGTTGATTACACCAACACCCCCCCTCAAGTTGAAGGTGGGAACAACTTCAACTTGCAATTGAATAAGATCTATGTTGACTTCAATGTGTATATAGATGAAAACCCATTGACCAAAACAGCAAGCTTCTGGTTCGATGTTTCTCTGCCTTTTCAACAAGTACATCAAGGAATTTGCTCTTATGTTCTACCAATTTGATCATTGCTGCTGGGGCTTGTACTGCCATTGTGACAAAACCATTTGATACTACATCAATGAGGATGCAACCTAGTGCCTTTGGGAAATCCAAAAAGCCTTTGGGAAACCTTCACAGAGGGCAGCTTGAGTGAAGCATTTGATGGTCTTTGGAATATCTCTTTTATTGACATCCAACCAACAACGTGAATCATACAGCAACGTGAAAGCAGCGAGTGCTAGTGATGGACTGATGGCTGCCATGGTTATCCACAATGAACGGAAAGTGAACCATACACAACTGATGATGAAGATGAGATGACAAATCAATTGATGAATTCACACGAAAACATCAAAAGATGAAATGAAATCAATTGACAAAAGTAATTGATGAAATCAACCGAAAACCGGATGATGATGATGAGAGTGAAACTCGATCAAAACGATTCGAGTGAAAACTCGATCAAAACGATACGAGTGAAACTCAATCAAACCGATTGAGTGAAATTGAATAATGATGAAACTTCTGAATTACAGAAGTGAAAGAGAATGATTGAAACTGAACATTCCAATTATGAGAATGAAAATGAAGATAAGAGAACTTCATGAAAAATCTGTAAAGATGCAGATTTAAAATTTTAAATGGTGCTAAACAGGAGCACACAACTGAGATCCAGGGGATGATTGAAAATCTGAAAAGGATGAATGCAGATTTGCAACAAACTCCAACTATTAAAGCAGAAATTGAAAATCTTAGACAGGAATTGCAGCGATCAGGGGCTGCCATTGAGGATGAAAATGAAAATGAATTTGGATATTCAATTTGAGAAGTAACACAATGAATAGATGATGAATATGGATCAACTGTGATGAATATGGAATGGAGATGGCAAACTCAAATGAAGAATATGTTCTGAATTCTATTCAATTTGTGATGAAACCTGATTTGGAGAGATTGAAGGAGGCCGGAAGAATGAAGAGCCCATAATTGAGGATCTTCAGATACGGAACCACAGCCGCCGTGTGTAAGACCAAATGGGAGTGGAGCAACGGAATCACGACCGGCGGCCACGAATTCTTAGACGTTCTCAGATCTGATTCTGCGCGGTACATAATCGACCTCGAATTCTCCTCCCAAATCGGGATAGCGCGGCCGGCAAATCAATTACAGCTTCTGGTCCGGTCATTGCCGGGAATTTTCGTAGGGAGAAGCAAGGAGCTGAAGAAGATGCTGAGATTGATGAGCAAGGCGGCTTAGTTTTGCTTCGGATTCAAAATCAACGGAGAGATTGCGAAGAGACCTCCTGCGGCGAGATGCAGATCCGAATTTCACCATCTCGAGCTCGAAGAGAGATGCAACGGTCGGGGCTAAGACAGTGAAAACGGCTTCTCCGCCGCCGACGAGATCGTACAAGAGGTCGGAGGCGACAATCGAGAATATCTCTCGCCTCTACACGGCGGAGACGGCGCCCGATTGGTTGAGGATGACGATGAGCAGAACGGCGGCGATAAATCTAGAGGTAGAAGACGCCATTGGAGGAGGAGTCAGTGCCTTGATGTAATTGACGATTCAGCTTCTTCTTCGACGAAAATCTAAGAGTTGAAATTGAAGATAAGGATTGAAGAATTGGGAAGCGTAAGATGGAAGATAAGGAGTCAGATTGCTGGAGCCATAGCAACCTGCTCTGATACCATGTTGGAAATGAAAGGATCACATTGTATTAACTAGCTCAAATTTTGTATTACATGATTAACTCCTATATATAGAAAATGAAAACAAACAACAACCAAAAATATCTTCTTAACAAACTAACAAACTATGTAACTAATCAACTAAACAAATGCTAAATGGTTGATTACACCAACATAGCTTAATTATAGAATATTGGCACTTACCCACTGTTGTCCTTGTCGAAGTATTGGAATGCGGTGTAGAGATGCTCTTCTCTGTCCATTCTGTTCATGTGCATCGTTGCTGTGATGAACTCTTCATAGTCTATAGTCCCATTCCCATCTGCATCAGCCTGCATGCATACATACATATATCTATGTTAAAATTTTGAGACTAATTATTTCATAAAAGAAAAAAACACAAATTATAGAATAAGGCATGCATGCATGCATACAGCTTCCATGAGTTGTTTGACTTCATATTCGGAGAGTTTGGTGCCTTGCTTGGCGAGGCCATGCTTCAGTTCCTCGAGGGTAATGGTGCCACTACCGTCGGTGTCCATGGACTTGAACATCTCCTTGAGCCCCATGATCTCCTCCTCCGAGAGGCACCCCGCTATCACTCTCAGCGCCACTTTCTTGAACTTGTTCATCGCCCTGAACTGCTTCAGCCTCTCCAGCACCGCGTTGTCCAGCGGCGTGTCCGGCGCCTCCCCGTCCTCCTTTATCCACCCGTGATCTACCACCACCACCATACACACGTATATATAATTCATCTCCATCCATCCAAATCATTTTATTTATTGGCACAGTTCTTGACGTGGCCAGGGAGGACCCTGATCCATTTGGGACACCTGCGGTGCTCCGTTTGCAAAATGGATAGTTCCCACTCTCTAATAAACCCCTCGCTCAGTCCCGACCCCAAGTCAATTGCGGGTTCCAAATTTAGTTGACTTTAGAATCAAAATTTTGACGTCAAAGTCAACTAAACTTGCACTCCGTAATTGACGTGGGTAGGAAATGGGTTGGGATCAGGACTGAGTAGGGGTGTACCGGGAGGTTAGGAGTAGTATGTACTCCTTCCGTTCTCAAAAACACTTCCTCTTTCATTTTTTTCACTTCCAACAAAACACTTCCACTTTCTATTAAAAAACCACTTTTACCCTTACTTTTTCATACTCTACCTATCACATCATACTTTTTCTCTAATAATCTATCCATCGCATCTTACTTTTATCCATCACATCAGGAGCAAAATTGAAAGTCAACTATAATTTAACATTTCCTTATTCTGGCTCCAAGTCAAACTAAGAATCTTTTATTAGAACGGAGGGAGTATCAATTTTTCAAACGGAACACAGGTTGAAAATATGCTATAATAATGGAACTTACTTAGGACTTGGAAAGCGGTGAGCCTTTGCTTGGGGTCGGGGTTGAGCATTTTCTTGACGAGGTCCTTTGCTCCGGGAGAGATGGAGGGCCAGGGGTCGCTGGAGAAGTCAACGTGACCGCGCAAGATGGCGTTGAATATGCCGTTCTCGGACTCGGCCCAGAAGGGCGGGACGCCGCACAGAAGAATGTACAGCATCACGCCTATGCTCCATATGTCAACCTCCGGTCCGTAGTTCCTCTTCAGCACCTCCGGTGCTATGTAATACGCGCTTCCCACTATGTCTTTGAACACATCTCCTGCAATCATCATTTGTCATATATACATTGTCAATATTTACATTCTATAAGTATGACATTTCAAATGCCAATCTTATGGATCAAAATTTCCTATTAAAAATTCACTCTAAACAGTAAACCCTAAATAATTATGAATATTCTCATTCAAATGCAAATCTTATGGATCCGAACACTAATTTTGAAAACAGAACATGAAAATATATATATTTCAGTAAATCTGGAAAGATTTACTGAAATATATATATTTCAGTAATTTTACTGAACACTAATTTTAGACTACTTATGTCATAAAATAATACGGAGTATAATCTTATCACATTTTGTTTTGTAGAACTTTTCTTTAATTTTTTACTATAAATCTACCTGCCCACGTTAATTACGGTGGGAGAAAAATCTCTTACGATGGATGGACTATTATTGGTCAAGAGTTTAATACTCCGTTCCTTAAAACCATTCTCATTTTGACTTTGAGCTAAAATAAGAAAAGTGTAATTTTGGTTGACTTTCCGATTTTGCCGCTGATGTAATGAGTAAAAATAAGATGTGATAGTCTGGTTATTAGTGAAAAAAGTATGATGTGATAGACATGGTAGGAAAAAAGTAGGGGTAGACGTAATTTTTTAATAGAATATGGAAGTGTTTTAAGAAATTGAGAAAAAAACGAGAGAATTGATGTAATGGAGGGAGTAATGTGCAGGATATGGGATGGATGGGGAAATTATTGCGGAAAAAAAATGAGGGTAGGTAATGAATGAATGAACCAAACAAACCTTGCTTGTAGAAGACGGAGAGGCCGAAATCGGTGGCCTTGAGAGGGGCATCTTCGTCTTTGCTGAGGAGGAGGAAGTTTTCGGGCTTGAGGTCGCGGTGGATGACGCCCATGGAGTGGCAGGTGTGGACGATCTGGACGATGGTGCGGAGGAGGGAGGCGGCGGCGCGCTCGGTGTAGTGGCCCCTGGCGATGATGCGGTCGAAGAGCTCGCCGCCGGCGCAGAGCTCCATGACGAGGTGCACGGAGTGCTTGTCCTCGTAGGCGCCCTTGAGCTGCACGATGTTGGGCTGGCCGGAGAGGTGGTGCATGATCTGCACCTCCCGCCGCACGTCCTCGATGTCCTCCTTGTTCACCAGCTTCCTCTTCGCGATCGTCTTGCACGCCAGCTGCTCCCCCGTCTGCTTGTCCGTGCACAGGTGCGTCACCCCGAACTGCCCCCGCCCCAGCTCCTTCCCGATCGCGTACCCCGTCCGCACGTCGCTCATCGGCCGCCCCAGCACCGGCCCGATCGCCGTCGTCCCCTTCCCCTGCCCCGGCGCCGCCCCGTGCTGCGGCGGCGTCGTCATGATCTTGTTCGACGTCGGCCCGTTGTGCACCGACGAGCTGTGCCCGCCGCCGCCGCCCCGCCCTTGGGAGGTTGTCGTTCCCTCGTCGGCCGCATTGTTGTTGCTGTTGTTGGATTCCGGAGAGGCTTCGCCGGAGCAGCAGTTCCCCATTTAATATTAGATGATACGTCGGGCGGGGAGGATACGATCCGATGGCAAAAAAGGGGTGGCCTTGGCGGCCGCGGGGAGTGGGAATGGAGAAGGCCCTCGATCGGGGAGCTATGAGAATAATTATTATTATTATTAGCTAGAGATAAGAGATTGGATTGGATGGTCTTAGCTAGGCCAGAGCCGGGAGATCATGAGAGAGAGAGAGAGAGAGAATAGGATTAATTGGTGTATACATGAGAGAGGGAAAATAGGGAGATCGAGGTAAACTAGAGGCGGAGAAGAGTGGATGCATCGCATGCACAACTTAATTGGCTACGTACCTTCTTCTGGATGGTGGAGGATTTTCATGCATGGCAGGAGAGATTTTGCAGGAGAAGCAAGCATTACATTTCACTCTTTGCGTTTATGGGAACAATAAATTGATCAAACAACCATTGCATGCAATAACACACAAAAAGAATAGCTAGAAGACAAATTATTAAAATATGATATTTATTCCGTATATCACAAAAGCACGTACCTTTTATATATATACGGAGTATTTTTTTTTTTGAAATTTGAGCTATGTGTATTTTGATGTTGAGTTTTCAAAAACATCTTTGGATGTGAGGAGTAAAAGTAAGATTTGATGAGTAGATTAATAGTGAATAGATGTGGTGTGATAGGTATGTTAAGAGTTAGCAGGGATAAAAGTGACTTTTTAATATAAATGAGAAAAGTTTTTTGGAAAGAATGAAAAAAGAAACAAGAAAGATTTTCAGGGATGGAGAGTGTATGTCAATGATCAAAGTGTTGCATTAAAATAAAGTCCAATGCTATAGGGGGGGGTGAATAGCGTTTGAAACAAATCATATGAATTTAAAAATAAAGTGAACGAAAAGTAAAGAGCGTAATGAAAGGCACAACGAGTGTTATATTGGTTCACCACAAGGTCTGGCTAATCCAGTCCAACGAGAGACTCTCTCGAAGGTCCTACTAACTCTGTTAAGCTAATTACAGATACTTAACAAGCTGGTACAACCTAAGAACTCGAGTCCATGAGCCTCAACAACGCTTGCTTGGAGGTACATCATTCCAAGACTTCAACCCAAAGAAATATACTCTTCGTACAACCTAGGGAGCAAGACTCCCTTCAAATGTATGCTACACTTAGACACTCAAGAACAAAACACTCCTCAGGAGTAGATTATGAGTAAAGTAGTGAATGCTCAAGAACACAGCGAAATTTTCACGAAATGACTCTCAAAATCTATAGAAAATGTATTTAGATAATGCAATGAAAGATTAATGAAGTTATGAAGATTTGTGTGCTGAAAATAGACCCAAAAACCCCTTTTATACCAAAAAATGAGAATTTACTAATTTCCTTCATCCACTCCTCGAGGAATACGACACTCGGAGAAAACTGACCCTTCATTGGGAAGGTTGACCTTCGCTAAAACTCAACTATCAGAAGAGGAAGAAATTAAAGAAAAGAAAGAAATGGAAGTGGGAATGGCTGGGAAGGAAAAAGAAAAGAAAAAAGATAGGAAGTGGGCACTTTAGACTTTTTAGTATAATAATATTTCCAAAAGTAAAAATGGGAAGATTATTTTTGGACGGATAAAAAAGAAAAGTGAGAACTTTATTGTTAGATAAAGAGAGTAAAACATATTTATATTATAATATAATATTCTAATATGAGTAATATATTATAATATGAAATTATTAATATATCATAAATTTATAATATATTTATATATAAAATTATAAATATTAAGAATGAGAGATTTGAGATTATAAGTATGAGAGATTGAGAGAGAATGAGAGATTAAAGTGTGATTAAAAAAATGTGGTATTTATAATAAAAAAAATTAACCCCCCACCATCCCTCCCCCATGCCCCAAACGGCTATAATAGCATTGGAGTCCACTCCTCGCTCCTCCCCAATATTTTTTTGCAGATGCATGACCAACTTTTACTCAAAAACACAGAAAATTCAACAGAACAGGAACCCAGATGCGCCGGTTCTACAACTGCCATCCTCTTCCTTGGGTACCGTGTTCATCAATTCTGGTTCCGATTCCCTGCACCCGCCATACCATCGTCGTTCCAGGCCGGATGTCGAAACAGTCGATACCGATTCGTAACCGGACCCGTGTCCACTTGTTGGGAATAAACGCACGCGGAAACAACACACACACACAATCACGAATCAACTGCATAAAATAAATGACACTAGATTTAACGTGGTTCGGTCTCCAACAGCAACCAACATCCACAGGGGGAACTTGGAGGATTTTATTTTATTTGTTGCACCCTAATTACAAACACATTAACATCTCTTAAATAGAGATTAATTAGAGGAGCACAATGATTAGTCAAGTAAATTTCCTGCTAATTTCCACATGGTGTCTAGTTAGCAACTTTTGTCCTCGCTTCACACTCAACAGTCAACACCACATCTAGTTTCAAGCCAGCGTGACTTTGCCATTTAATCGCGCCTATGTAGAAATGAGGTATTAAGAGCCTCTCAAACATTGCGTCTTGGCTTGTTAAATGTCATTATTTGGCAATCCATTTCAATTTTTGTGCTCCAAAGGGCTTGCTTTATTATAGCACACTTGGTAAATTTTAACTTTGGCTTGTTATATATAGCAAGCCTCTCAAAATGTAGCAAACCATGGTATTGATTAAATATTTGGTTTTTCTCTTCTTTTCTCTCATTCTCCTCAAAATATGTAGTTACTTCGATCTACTCTCTAATTTTATATATAAAGATTTGTAAAAAAAATCTCTACTCTTTAATTGGTATTTATTAAATATTTAAAATAATGCTCGTATATTTTTTTTCTAAAGTAAAATATTACTCGTACTCCGTATTGTTTTTTGAAATTATTATTTTTAAATTCTATACTTATTACTTAATTTTTATAATATAAAATAATAATTGAATAATTATTTTAAAGAGCGTATTATAATAGTGAAAAGAATATATAGTAAATTCTATAATTGGTACTCGTATTTCATAATAGGGGTTTCCCTATTTAGTCCTCTTTTATCAAATATTACCCCAGTGGTCCTTCTTTTATGGGTATTTTTCCACAAATAATCCTTTTTTTGATCTTGTATCACGTGGGAGTTAATTTGAGGGCTAAAAGTGTAATTTTACAATGATAATATATCTTTTTTATCATACACAATTCCAAAGGTTGTTCCTTTTTACGTCGTTTGTGAATTACATTCGCTTTCTACTACAATCATAGTCTACAAATGTAGCCTTTTGTCGGAATCCTAGCCCATAATCATAGTCATTATTTTTGTGTTATCCGCTTAACCAATATCAGAACACGTCACTAGACATAATGTTGATGTCAAATAATACTTTTAGCCTTTAAATTAATACCAACATGGCGGAAGATCAAAGAAAGGACCATTTGTGGAAAGGCACACTTAAAAAAAGGACTACGAGGGTAATATTTGATAATAGAGGACTAAATATGAAAACCTCCCTGTTATAAAGGACCAATTATAGAATTTACTCAAAAATATAATATACAGAGCAATTGTTAGCTAAATTATAGCAAGAAAAGGTTGGAAATAACAATGTAAAATGACTTGCTATGCTACTATTTAAATTCTGAAATAAAGCTTAACTTACCAAGTCTGATTTAGATGTTGATAGGGAATTGGGAGGGGATGCAAAGCCCATACTTCCAGCGAGAAGTAGAGGGAATACCTGAAACTTTCTTAGTACCCGCTGCCGCCATTATAGGAAGAAGAGGCGAAGCAGAAGAAGAGGACATCGTTTGCTTGGACGAGTCGTTTTTCATCAATGATAAGTACGAAACTCTGCGTGCATCGATATATATATGTATTTCCTTCTTGAAATTTGGGGTTTGAGGCGTTTGTTTGCAGCTACGAGCTTACCACATTCTCCTTCGGATCTCAAGTTCTGCAGCTCTACTGCCTCCAATCAGCTTCCAGTAAGCCTTTTTCCCCTCTGATTTTTTTTTTTCATAACTGGACTGATTCCACTATGAAATCCAGTTATTCCCAAATCAAGGCTATTGTTTTGCAATGTTTTCTCTGCTTCTGTTGCTCGCGATGTGTCATTTTCCACGTATATGACATTGAAGACTCAGGTTCTTGAGCTTAAATTTTTGGACGAAACTAGCATTTTTTAAAGCTATTGATGATATTTTTCTATTTAATTAGGGCCCTTAGTTGGCTTTGAGTTTGGGAATGGTGAGGTAGATGGCAAACAATTCTGCTTCAGGTCCCGTTTGGTTCAATTTCAGTTATATATTTGGAAATAGGAACAAAACCAAGTAGGTTTTTATTCTACAAACCTAATATTTTTTTTATCAGCATATGAAGGTCAGTTGTAGTGGTTGCGAGATTGTGATGGTCACCGACCTGCAGAGTTGCTTGATATAAGTGAAGGGTAGAAGAAACCTAAAATAAAGTAGTCAAAATAATAGTTGAAATCTTACATATGGCTCTGGTCATACAACTCCTACTAGGAGCCCTACTAGGAGGTTGGCTTTTAGAGAGGATGGGATTCATGTGGTTTAGAGATTGGGTTTAGGAAAGATTTTCTTGTAACCAAACAACAAGTATGGATTCAAGATTCCCCAAATCCATACCCGGTACTGGAAGAGTGTTAACTAATCAGGGCCTTAATAGTTGTTTGATAAACTAACAATGAGGGTGCAGTTGAAATGTTTTTAAATATTTATAATGATTGTATTAAAATTAAATTTTTGTATTTAAAAAGAGGATATGTTTAGTTAATAAATAAAGGAGAAATTAAAAAATAAAATAAACATACTCCATGGAGTTATCACAACCCACAATGAGAATTGTGATGAAAAGCCGTCCACTTTAACAGTTGTACTAACTCAAACCACACCATAGCAGTGAACGTAAGACACTAAGCTGCAGTGGGTGCTGCTATGAACCATTCATGAACAAATTTTTACCAAAATGCCACAAAAGCTAAAAGAAAGTGGGCCTATATTGTTTGTGTAATCAGTGCATAGGCTTAAAAATTTCCTACTACGACCAAATAAAAACTTAATGAATATCATTTCTATTCTTTCTTTCTTTTTCAAATATAATGTTTAGAAATTTAGCATTACATTAGCGGATTTATTTTCTTTCATGCATATAGCTACTTAGAAGTTAGAACTAACTATATGCATGCCAGCCGATTTTGATTTGACAGGACAGTTGGTGTGGCCTGGAGCAGTACTCTTGAATGATTATCTGGCAAAGAATGCTGACATCATCCAAGGGTGTTCTGTTATTGAGCTTGGCTCTGGCGTTGGTTAGTAATCTCATGAAGAACTTTTTTTTACTCTTTATTCTTATTGTTCTAATTTCTTCAATTGCTGGAGCTGCACTTTTGAAATATTTTGAGTGGACATAGTTTAATGCTGTTAATTAAATGATTTGTTTTCATAATCATTTATCCTTTCCTTCACCATCATTTAGATACGAGAATTTTCCTAAATGAACTTTATTCGGCACTCATGTTCTTATGCGAATTAGTTGAAAGGTAACTCCTGCCAGTTTATAAATTGTTTAGTGCGGAGTAATGTTTAGGGTTTCGAAAGATTCTAAGGGCCAGTTTTAATGGAGTGTTTAGAAGGAGAAGGCTTTGGAATGCTTGATCAATATCTTGATGGACTACAGATTTCTAAAAACAAAGGGTAATACCAGGATTGAAATGTCATAGTTCACCTATCATATTATTCTTTCATTTTAATACAATATCAAATTTCTATCAAGTTTTAGACTTGGCCTTTTCCATCATCTCCGGTGGAGCCAAAATTTCACCATTTTTTGGCTTTGGGGTGTGATGGAATAAATAAAAATGGATCTCTAAACTGTCTGCGCTTCTTTAATTAATGAAGTAGCAGTTAGTCAAGCAATGCAACTTTCGACGTTGAGCCGGGGGTCTCTTTGGAAACAGCCTCTCTACTTTCGAGTAAGGGTAAGGTCTGCGTACACACACCCTCCCCAGACCCTACTCTTGTGGGATTTAACTGGGTTGTTGTTGTTGTTGTTGTTTTAGACTTGGCCTTCCAAATCCCTCTTAATCCTCCATCTAAAGGAGGAGAAGCCCTATATGGTCAATTTAGATTGAAGACCTTGGTGATCTAGTTAGGACTTGATAAATAGAATTGTTCTTAAAAACAATTATAGGTGATTAAAATGTTTGACAATCGCATATTATGTTTAGTTTCATTTGTTTTAAACTCTCCAATACTCCATAAACCATCCGTCCAATCAGAGCCTACGAGAATAGGATCACTAGGGAGATAGTCTAAGCATTTGGATAGAATCAATTATATACTAAGAAACAGTCCATTGCAGTTCTTCATAAAGATGGGTAGCGTAGGCCTACTTGAATATGTCAATTCTATACCACATTATCAGTATTTCCCAATTCTTCTATAATTTAAAGAGAAATTTGCTTAATTGCTGAATGCAGGTATAACTGGAATACTGTGCAGCAAGTTTTGTCATGAAGTCGTGATGACAGACCACAATGAGGAGGTCCTAAAGGCATGTTCAAGTTAGATGTCAATAATTTTCAATTTTTTTCAAGAACCATGTCATTTCAGCATCTAATATTTAGATTTTAGACCACTTTCAGATCATGAAGAAAAATATAGAGCTTCATGCTTCCTCTGGGATTTCTACTCGTTAGTAAACAAAACTTTTGCAAAGGATGGCAGCATTTTTTATAGACTTGCACCTTCTTAAAATTGTCTGCCCGTTATTTTTTTTCAGGCTTGAAAAGCGAGAAGCTGGAATGGGGCAATACTGATCAGTTCAGTTCTATATTACAAGACCATCCTCAAGGATTTGATATAGTTCTTGGAGCTGACATTTATATCCAAATGCCTATATTTTCATATCGAAGACATATAGTTTCAATGAGGCTATTGGCATTTTATTTGTGCTTCATCTAAAACTAAGGATCACATTTATACATTTACATTTTTGTCTTGTACAATTGTCTTAACATGCCATAGCATCTCATGCCTCTTTGAAAAAAATGACTTTTGCCTTTGACTAGTAAATGACTGCATTTTAATATTTGAAGTTATTTACTTTCGCGATAATCCTTGACAATATGCAAGTTTTCAGCAGTCAAGTGTTCCTCTTCTCTTTGATACTGTGGAGCAGCTACTCAAAGTCCGAGGGGGCAACAAATGCAAATTTATTTTGGCTTATGTATCGCGAGCAAAAATGTATGTACATCTCTTCAATGTTATAAATTACGGCTCCAAAGTGTCATTTTCTTTAGGATGTGTGGATAGAGGGGAGAGAACTCATTTTCCCTCCCCCTCCCCAGCTCCTGTCATCTTCATCCAAACACACCCACGGTAGAAATGATTTTTAATATTAGACAACTTCATTATTTTACTATTGGCACAAGGTAATTGAATTTTACCACATTTGGAATTTTGTCTTTCTCTGAATTTTACATTTACACCCACCTAATATTGTCTTTCTCTGCAGAATGGATACATTGGTCGTTGATGAAGCTATGAGACATGGTTTGCAAATAAATGAAGTGGCCGGGACACGATCTGTGGTAAAACATCTTGAAGGACTCATATTTGAGATACAAATTAAGGAGTAGAATGAAGTGTTGGTATCCAACATTTTATCATGTCTAATCTTGCCTCTGTGTTTGAGAGAAACATCAAGTATAAGTTGTATGGTTTAGCCTCTTTTGATTTTAAGAGAGCATATTTATGTGAATGATGAAACAAGATTCTCTTATGGGTAAATGTGGCCAACTCCAAGTTAGATCATGTTCTTTTTAACTTTATATTCTAGTTATGCAGACTCCATATTCCAGGTTCCATATTATAAATTTCAAGTTAGATCGTGCTCTTTTTGTGTGATGAATAGTTTTTTGGCCAAACAAATATAGAAAGCTTGGTTGAGGTGGATTAGGTACGTGAAGCGGCGAAGCGGCGAAGCGTTGAGGTCGTAGTGCGGAGATGCAAGAGGCTTATGACAGTAGGTGGGGGTGGGGAAGGAGTAGACCGTAGACCTTAGAAGAATTGGAAGGAGGAGATTAGACATGACTTAAGATCTCTAGCGCTTTTTTTAGATATGACCTTAGATAGAAGCCTATAAAGATCTAGGATCATGGCAGTTCGGTAGTCGTTTGGGCCTTGGGGGTTGGTTTGGTCCTGTCCTTTTTTGCTTGTGATGTTTGGTGTTTCTTTGCACTTTTCTTTATCCTTAGTATGTTGTGTGCTTATTTATTTGTACTCTATGCTTTTCATGTTACTCTAGCTGGAAGCTTCTTGAAAATAATTTCTCTACTCTCGAATAGAGGTAAGGTCTACGTACACGCACTCTTCACAGAGCATACTTTAGTGAGATTTTACTAGGATGTTATTGCATGAATAGTTACTCATAGATTCTAGACCTAGGGGGTATAGAGAGAGAAAGCTTGAGTGTATATTGCGATGGAGTTATTAGAAAGGTGTGTTTAAAGATTTCAACTTGAGTTGTAGTAGACGCACCAAGCACACAATGGGAGAATCAACAATTATATATTTATTGTTAATTGATTTATATTGAAGACTTCTTGATATATTTGCTTGAGCTCGTATCTTGGTTATACTTGTGGGATAATGCCAAAATGGAAAGATATTGATGATATGCATGTGGAACTATATTCCAGCACCACGGTTCTTTTGACCCGAGGTATTTTGACCTTAGACTGACCTAGGGCACCTAGGGTGCTTTGTTAGTAAAATTGATGTTTCCTACCCTTGCTCCTTGCACCCCATCCCAACCTTACCCCCGCCTCCCAAATTGGCAATCTGGAGGCTGGGCGGGAGGAGGGTAGGAACCATCAATTTTACTCAAGTGTACCATAGGTGCTCCAAACTGCACAGGTCATTTTCGAGTCATTTTTTGCCTGAGTCAAACGATCCTTGTCGATATTCCAAAGGAAATAACATATATTTAGGAGAAATTACATTTTAATTATGTTTTAGTGCATGCTTGTTTTTTATGGTGTTTAATGCACATTTTGAGGGGGGGGGAGTAAGCGTTGATGCAAATCCTCTAAGGTGTTTATCCTTATAAAAAAGGTGAAAATTGTTGGACAATATATTATTACATGAATATTTGTATTGCAAATTTACGTGTCCTTTGTCATAGGTTTTGATAATGATAACCAAATGTCAATCAAGTGACAATCAAGGTAGCATACAAGAGTCATAATCAAGAGATTCAAGAAAGATTAATGTCATTTGATACAAGGGGAAGTGAATGCTTTTAAGGCATTCTTGTAATGACCGGGTCCCCTTACTTTGGGAACCAATGTCTTGCCCCTCCCTCGATTTGACGATCCGGGGGTGGGTGGGGGTGGGAAGGTACTGAAGAATGGTGGTTAGGGGTAGGAGCCATTAATTTTATAAATTGGACACCGTATATGTCAATTTCATAGCATGACATTGGGAAGACTTTGGTCCTCAATGTCAAGTGAAGAGTTGTGTTCTAGTAAAGGTAAGTTTTCTATTAATATGAAAGGCTTGATTCTCATGACATTGATCCCAATGTCATTGGATGACTTAAGGGCATTGAATATGTCATGAGATGACATGCCCCCTAAAATGATTGCTATTTGAATGTCAATATATGCCCTTATATGATTGAAAGACAAGGGACACTATGTGAATGGATAATCTTGTTGGACTAATATTGAAGCTTGTTATAGGGATTGACATAAGAGGAAAAAAGCGATCAAGATTCATCTACTCATAAAAAAGAGCCACTCAAGGTATCAAGTGAAGAGTCAAGATCGTCCGAAGTACAGGTATGCTTGAATCTTAGGCCATGTTTACTTCAGCTGATCTAAATGCAATAAGTTCTGATCTGATCTGATTGTAGTTATATTTAAAACTATTTTTGATCTAATCCGAACTAATTCCAATAAGAAAAAGTAATACTCCGTAAGTAATAAGAATAAGTGAAGAGAACATGACCTTAGTTTGTATTGCATCTTGATTTGACATCATGACTTTATAACTCATCCAGTCATCCAACTCTTTCCAATGTCAACCAAATACACCTTAACTACAAGTTAGTATTCACTTTTTTGAGTGCTACAAGTTAGTATTCTAATACCGAGCTTAGCTTTTTTTTAGTATTCTAATACTGAGCTTAGTTATTCAATCATTGTTTTCGCATACGAATCACGCATTGAATGAAAACTATTAAATCCTTTAACCCAGTAGTTACTTTGGGGGTTGACAGAATCACTAGAACAGGTACCCATTAATTTATCCAATTAGCCCATCATCATCACTTCCATAAATCTGTACAGAGGATGCAATTCCTATATGAGGTGAAGTACTGAAACTCCACCCCTAAAGTAGAATCACCTACCCAACTATTGTTCTTATTATTTGAAAAAAATGGCTTGAAAATCTGATTCTATTCCAAGACTTGAGATGGCCATAGCTTTTTCCAGGCAGAAATGTCATCAGCAGCGCAAAGTTTGTTGATCCCTCCGTAGAACCCGTCTGATTCGTTTCCCTCCTCGCGGTGCTCTTTTCTACTAACAGTCGTTCTTCTCCACCGCGATCCCGCAGAGTATTGGTTGAAATCTAACGCCACGCTATCTGCACTCATACATTATATTGCATGAGTTGTGAAGGCCATTATATTAGTCAATAGAATTTTATCATATGAATAAAATAAACACTACTATGCTAGTAAGTTACTTTGATGATGATGATGATGATGGCTTTGTCACTAGAGGCACTTCTGGCATATCACTGATCATTTGCTAGGGATGAATGGATTCTTATGTTGTAACTTCTCTCTTGTTCGGTTATTAACTAATCACCCAGTTTATGGGGGAAAAGAACAGAAATGGAGAAAAAAAAGTTTGGGTCTTTGGTTGGTCTTTTTTTTCTGATTATTAGTTTTGTTGCACACTTGCAATGTTAGATGTTGATATATTGAAGTGTTTTTTAGGTTAGAATTGCTGTTTGGTTCCTTTTCATACTATTATACACTTATACTCTTCCCTAGTAGGGGAAGCATTCCCTAACAGTACCTAAATGCCAAACAAACCGTTAGAATATACTCCATCCGTCCCGAGTGGCGGATCTGGAAAAAAATGGGACTGCGAGCAAGGTCATAGTAACGACTTACGAGTAGGGCGGAGGTTCAGGGGCATCGCCCTCAATTTTTTAAAAGACTATTTATAATAAAGAAAGAAAAAATGAATACATTTAATATTCAAATAAGTTAAATAAATATTTTTAAAATAGAAAAATATAATATAAAATATATCATGACCTTATAAAACTAATCGTACATGACGTGATAACTTAAAGGATTATTCATGAAATTTTCAAAGTTGAAGAACTAATCGTACATGACGCAATAACTTAAAAGACTAATGGTACAATTTAGCCAAAGTTAAAATTTATTTTCGGAGGTAGTGTAATGTTTTTTCAATTTACTTGATAACCAAAGTTTATTAAGTTTGATTATAAAATGTCAAACTTGACAAATATAATGTATGTTCACTATTTGCAAGGTTAAATTTTAAACAATTACTCCTTCTATCCCAAATTATAGTGCATGTGCACTATTTACAACATTAAATTTTATTCACTTTATTTAACATATTCATGTTACCTCTTCTTTTAAAAAACATTTGATATACTTCTTTCGTCTCACGAAATCTTTCTCTTTTCTTTTTTCATTCGTTCCAAAAAACTTTCTCAATTCTATTAAAAAGTCACTTTTACCCCTACTAATTCTTAACCTATTTATCATATCACACATTCTCACTACTAATCTACCTTTCATATTTACTTTTATCTATCAGATTCAAGGTAATTTTGGAAAGTCAATACTAAAATACACTTCTCTTAAATCCTTTAAAATTCAAAATAAAAAATATTTTACAGAATAGAGGAAGTAGTTTTTAAATGTATAATTTTTATTTTTAAATTTCATCTCAATCTCCATATAAATTAAATTAAAAAATAATATTAGTTAAATATTATAAACTGAAACAAGTACTAAAAATTTGGACTAAGAGAATACTATACCAAGGATCAAACAAGACGAAAATTTTACAGAGTATGAAAGGAAGAGAGTAGTAAAAATCACACCATTCTTTTTAAAAAAGAGTGATACTGAGTAAGAGAGAAGCAAATGTAAAAACTTTTTAGTGAGGGGATTTTGAGAGTAAGAGAGAGAGAAGCAAAAGTAACCAATAAATTATTTGAGACAATTTTACTCTTTTGATGAAATGCTTTTATTTGTGAATAAAAGGTCTACACAAATTATGTGGATCTTTTGACATAAAAATTTATTTTCTTCTTAAAAAATAAAAAAAATACTCTTCTCAACAATAAACATTTGTTTACGAGACGTCAAATTTGTGAATTTTATTAAAATTATGTTAAGGCCACTGGTACTACTTCTAACACCGAGCAGCGTTATCACCATTTTGACGCCTGGGGGCGTTAAACACCGCCCCCCTCCCCCGTTAAAAGTGCGTTAAAATACTTGCGTCAAATTTTTGACGCGGTTTGAAGGCATTATCACGCCTTCTTCTTTCCTTTTTCTCCCTCTTTTTTCCTCTTTTCTTCTCTATAAATTAAATTAAATTTTTTTTTAAAAATTCAACACAAATACAAATTTCTCTCTATCTATCATCTTTTTTAAAAAAAAAATTATTATTCAAGTATTTTATTTATTTTTTCATTAATGTAATTTTTTTATTTAATGAATGT